GCACGAAAAGCACGGATCGACGATGAGCATGAAAAGCACGTATCCACGATGGCACGAAAAGCACGGATCGACGATGAGCATGAAAAGCACGTATCGACGATGAGCATGAAAAGCACGTATCCACGGTGAGCACCGAGCACGATGAGCACCGACCACCAAAAGCACGGATCGAAGATGAGCACGTTATCATGCACCAAAGTTCCCGCACGGATCCATGATGAGCAGGTGACCAAAAGCACGGATCCACGGTCAGCACGTGACCATAAGCACGGATTCACTTTGAGCATGTGACCAAAAGCACGATCCACGATGCGCACGTGGTGGTGCTCCAAAGAAAGCAGGGATCCTCGATGAGCACGAAGTTTCCGTCGAGCACGAAAAGTCGAGCACCAATGGAGAGAACACGATGAGCACCAATGGAGAGAAGACAATGAGAACGAAAAGCACGAATTGAAGCACGGATCCACGGATCAATGATGAGCATGAATCCAAGCACGGATCCACGGATCAATGATGAGCACGAATCCAAGCACGGATCCACGGATCAATGATGAGCACGAATCCAAACACGGATCCACGAAGTCCTCGCCGAGCAGCAAAGGAGAGCACAGTAAGAGAGAGATGTTATGAACTTGGTTGTTTGACAATTCGATTGCCACTCACACACAGACACACTCACACACGCCCATACATGCATGAGAGAAAGGGGAGGAAGAGACAGAGTCCACCTGCACACAGACCAGAGATAAACAGCGGAATAGCAACCATGCACAGATGGGGAGAATACACACAGTGTTCTCTCTCTCTGATAAACTCCCAACAGCCAATCACAGGATGACACTGCGAAGATCACAATTGGAAAGTAACCCAAATATTGAGCCAACTCAACACAATTAACCCCAATTATCGTTCCAGAGTTCAACCTTGTATCTCGCCACTCAAGTACTACACACTCCACTCACTCCTACACTCTCAGAGTCTGGCGCTGCATAGAAACAGCCTCCCAGAGGCCAGCGCCATACACCCAGATGCAGATCATGAACAGCGAAGTAGTCTCCAGTGTCGATGAGTCACTCTGGCGATGAAGAAGGCAGCTATGGCTGCCTGGCTGCTACCGCAGCAATAGTACCCACATGTACTCAGTGAAGAGCCCCGATGTAGTCCTGCCAACGCAGATATCCCCAGGGGATAGATGCGCTGAGTACAGCCCCAGCTATGGCTGTCTCAGGTAGGTGGCTATGGCTGCTTCACGACTGTCGAAACCTCAGGCGCCACTGTAGGTCTTCAGCGCTGCTCACTTGGTTGGCCACAAAACGCTGCACGCGAAAATGAAATGCCAAAAGTCCTGAATCRATTTTCCTCYAGGACTTGTAGACTCTCTACTCTAGCCTAGACCTAGACCGGACTGACTGGACCTACCGRTACCGCTGCTGTTTCGGYCTCTCGGCCTCTACCGGACCYGGCTATAGGCTAYAGGACCGTATAGCMGTATAGGCCGCTTAGGGCCTGTCTGTCCTAGGGTRGCCCGGGCCTGCTATAGGCAGTTAGGGTAGCTGTAGGAAYTCGGTTAGTACCAGGTCTGTATTTTTTCAAAAATTACAGATCTGTCCCTCACGAATTTCCACACAGGCGGATCTCTCGGTTAGCCCTCAGCCAAACAAAATTACAAAACTAACCCTACAGGTTAGTATACAGCCTCGCAGTCAATCTCGGCAGCAGAAATCAGCAAGTCATTGCAGGCTTACCCTCCCCGGGAGCGAGGACCTCCGAGCTAGGGGTGCAGACGAGGCGAACAGCGAAGGTCACCCTTCTGAGTCGCCTCATAACACAGTACAACAGACTTTGCTATCTTGATCAGGTCCCTTTTGTAGAACCATCGGTTCTCAGAAGGAGGTTGGAACGCAAACCTGACAAGATACTGCCGGTCGGGGCCAGTACCCCACTCATCCTCAATGGCCACCACATCATATCCCTTACCAGGGATTGGTGGGCCCCATTGAGGAGGCCAGTCAGGGAATGCATCAGCTGGCGTGAAAGGCAACAACTTGGATGCATGGAAGACCGGATAGGTTCGTAGATGCAGCGGGACGTCGATGACATACGACGGACCGAAGGGATCAGCGCCCACTGTATCTAGGACCCAGGTAGCGCGGCAACAGCTTGGGAGAAATATCCTCCTCCCTCGACAACTCAGACCTGGCCACCCAAACATAGTCACCAGTACGGATGGGGGAAGGCCGCCTGTGGCGGTTAGCTTGTTCAATCATGGCCTTTTGGACCTTGAACAAGTTCGCTCGGGCTCTTTCCACATCCAGACGATAGCGTCTGGCGAACTCTGCAGTGCCTCGGGTAAGGTCAGGCTTAGCCTTATTGATGATATCATCGAGAGGCTGTCGTGGTTCACGTCCCCAATGTAGTCGGTAGGGACTGAACCCTGTCGAGGAGTGGACAGACATGTTATGCATGAGCTGTGCCCTCGCAAGGTGGAGATCCCAGTCCTGCTGATCTGGAGAGATCACAGGGCGTAGCAGCTGGAACAGGACTTGGTTCATCACTTCAGCCAATCCATCGGCTTTAGGATGACGACCAGAAGTCATGTCCAGGCGTGAGTGCAGATAGTCCTTGCAGTAGGACTGCCACTCATCGCTGCAGAATCTGGGGTTTCGATCACTAACAATGGAGGTGGGCGGTCCATGGTGCGTGACCCACCTCTCAGAAAAGGCTGCTCTCACAGCCGGTACCCTGGCTACCTCTGGCAAGGGGATGAACTCTGCGTATTTGGAAAACCTGTCCACGCAGACCATCACCTGATGCATGCCACGAGGGGTAGTCTTGCCTAGGTCTGTAAAGTCAATAGATACAGACTGGCAGGACCATCAGGTATGGGCAAAGGTTTGAGCAATCCCAAAGGAGGTTTACGCCGAACCTTGTTCCTTTGGCAGAGCTCACAGGTGTCCACATAGCGGAGCATCTCACTCCGCATCTCCTTCCAGAAGAAGCGCTGCGACAGGGCTGCATACGACTTTAGGAACCCAAAGTGTCCACGCGCATCGTGGCACTCTGACATCAGCAGTGTCCGCAGCTGCTGATCCTCAGGGATGCACAAGCCCTCCTCTCCTCTGCTGTAAGTGTACAGCAGATCTGAACTCAGGGCATAACCTGGTTCAGAATTGGGAT